ACTCTTTTACAACCTGATACCAGTGTTCTCTGCACCGCTTTTGTTCTACATAGAGAAGACTGTTGGCATAAGCCAAATTAGGTGTATTGATTCTGAAACTTGTGAGTTCCAGAGACCCCATGGTGTTCGGACGACAAGTGACTCGTCCGTTTGGATTAACTCATAGTTCGACCTGTCGCCTTCATAACTCGAACTTTTCTCTGGTGGAATGAGTCTAGACGTGGGTATATAACACTAGATTATTCGTTTCTTCTTTTCATGCACCACTGTAGCGGGTATCGGGCGAGGCTTGGATCGGTCACCTTGATATAAGAATCTTGATGACTACCACAATCGAGATGGCCCAAGTGGTTAGAGCGCAATTTACTGACCGGAAGGTCCGTGGTTCGAATCCGACCTCCGCCACTCGACTTCCCCTGTCTAGGCTTGGGCGACCTGACAGTATCCCAGCCCTCGTACTCTCTTCGCGTAGCATGGCAGCTAGGCACTGGAAGGGTGCTACAGCTGAACGCTTTCTTTCTCTCTTTTTACCACAACCATTTACCTAGGTTTCTATCATAAATGCCATATCCATCAGGTCTGGTCCATCTGGTTCTCACAGCTACCGACTCATTCAAGTAACCTGACCACTGCCCTTTGATGCCAAGCGTTTTTCTGTTACAAAAAGAGACAGAAACTGTGAAGTATTCAGAACAATACTTCATTATTCACATCTGCCTCTGTTTGGCATGTAAGCTTGTGGGTTTCAACTAGCTGCTATCCGACTTTAAAAGTGAATCTCCGTACGTAAACCAGCATAAAGCATTCGTCTATTCCACTACTCTTATATTACCCATACTGCCGTTGAAACGTCGAGAATTCACCACCTATAAGTGAAGTGACCCATACGTATACTGGTCCTTTTTAATGGGGCTAATAACATCTTGATTCATTTGACACAATGTGACAAGCTCTTGAAAAGACAATCAAATCGAGTTTGTCCGTTCAAAAGTGATAATTCAGGGGTTTCCAGCAAGCCGCGGTGGAGTAATTTTGGTACACTCACTTCTCATGTCAGATATCTGGGTTTCAGATGCGACCAAGAATATGCACTGCTGATGACTCCCAACGGAAGTGAAACCCGAGTCCACTACTTTCTCACTTTAATGTGCGCTAACCGAGATAGCCACTCTAGGATAGGAAGATGGTGGAAACGAGCCAAAGGTGGTCAAACAGTGACTTGGCAGCGAATTATGAAAGTCATTACCAGCAAACCCAGCTGCGCTGCTCATTGCGGTCTTCATGGATGGGGACCCTGAGGAGGGCCACATCAATGGACATTGTCAGACATGGCCCAGTCACGCCCTCAACGGCGCTCGTACATCCAAGCTATGGCCTCCAATGCACAGCTCCTTTTCCAACCCCCCCCCCCGCCTGACAGCCCACTGACAGTGCTGTATTTACGCAGCAATTTATCAGCTCCCGCCTTCAATGCGCAGCCACCTATTCCACATCCCCAAATCATCGGTGAAGGACTGTGGTAGCTACGACCACTGTACGACAAATACGCGGTTCTTACAGCTGACAATGATGGTTTTGATAATGATGGATAAGATTGTTCAAATGAGAACAATAGTAGTACGAATTCAACCAATTCCACAGCTACCTATAAATAAGAAAACAACATGGCTTATCTAAACGGGTACTTACATTCGACCTACACTGCTCTTGACGGAGCACCCTGTCAATAGGAAGTTTGGAACTTAGCCGAGAAAGAACATCATTCCTGATGCATTGTGTTTTCAACGGATTTGCGCTGCCCATAGGAATTGTGATACCATTACGCTAGATCAAGTAGTTGAAACAGCCATTTGGAGTGTTACTGACCAACCAATCTCGTCTGGATTATTGATCAACTGGAAAAACCCCGCGGTGATCCGTAGGGAACAAGCACAATTCATCAGTTTAGTCTCAGTCACCACACAAGTGTCTCATATATGAGATCCAAACATATTCGGTTGCAGTAGACATTTGCGAAGGATGCTTTCGAGTTAGCTATTATTAGTTGAGAGGAAGTCGTTCAACAAAGTGTAGCTAGATGGAAAGAATATCGTAGAAATGCTGAGTACTGAATTCGAAGTACTGACTACCTTGGACACAACAACAACGACCTCCAACTGAGTATTTCGGATAAACGGCCTGTGAGATGACCAATGGGATTTGAAGTGGAAAAGACATTATGAAGACAAGGAACTTATATCCATCAGTGTAAGTCAATCGCAGTGTACCACTAGTTGACCAGATGTGGGACAGAAGTAACCAAGAGATCAGACCAAGACCCGGAGCCTTCATCAGCAAAGCACCGCACTAGCGGGTGTCCTCCTTGAGCAGGAACACTGCACTGTCACATCAATAGGTAGAGATGCTGACAGACAGGGTTTAGTACCGCGACCAAAATAAGATATGCTCCAAATATGAGGAAGAATTTTACACTTCAGTACTATGAACTGTCACCTCAGAATTTTTTCCACGGTATCGGTCAGTTGTGGATGGACGAGAATGTAGTCACCGTGAGACTGATATGCGGCTCACCGTTTAATTTTATCTTGTCCGGTACAAAATTTCGGAGAGCGCTAGGTTCGTGTTTTGGGAAGCACGTAATATAGAAACTACATGTGGGTAATTGGCTGGGTGCCGGTTGCGTGCGTGGTTTTCCTTTTGATCAGTGGGCTGAGTAGAAGCAGTGTGTTAGTGGCTGTCCCGCCCATGTTCTCTTGTGCATAAGTGCTAAAGCTGTTTGAGGACTACGCAACAACCCAGGTGCCAGGATGGACTATCTCAAGACTGAGTTCGGAAGCGCCCCGAACTCAAAGTGGTGATATCGCCAGCAGTTACCAATGGCGCGGATGACTGCCGCTCACTTTGGAACATATTTGTGGATTCCGACCACACGCTCGCCCGGAGTAGATCTGAGAGACTGGAGAATCCGGATGTTGGATGAATTTACCGGAATCGTCTTCTGCAGTCTTTTCCAGATGCCCTACCATCAGATGTGAATTCGTACTGGGACAAGATTGCAACCTCTTTGAACAGTGCTGGGAGTTTCGCCTGAAACACGGAGCTAACAGGCTCATTCAAGCACTACTAGAACAGTAGAAAATACCCTGGGCAATCTCGAAAGTAGCTTGACGCGACTAACTCTCAGACATCAAGTAAAAGTGAACGTGTCAGCCGGCCCTGAAGTGTGGTGGACTCAGAAAGTTAAGGAAATGGAAGAGGCCCAGAAATCCGGGAATATCCGAAGAATATTTTTTGATACGTGCAGCCGGTCCCTGGATATAACTTGTGAGCAAATTCACCAAGGATCGGAATGGAGTGACCGTCTTCAAGAACACCTCTACCGCTGGGCCGAATAGTTCGAACAAAAGTTATCGTGGCCACCAGCTGCCACTCATCTGGAGTCTACATCTGACGGCTGGGAACTACATGACTGCATATGTTCTCTCAAGAGCCGCCGAGCTCCTGGTCCGGATGACTTCTCACCCGCATTGTTCAGAGATGGGGATGAAGTCCGATCTGCATGCCTGCATTTGGGAAACGCAGACTGTTCCAGACAAAATGGAAGAACAACTGATACTGTCGTTTCTCTAAAAGGGTCTCATAGTGAGTGTAGTAATCCCAGGGGGATCAGACTGAATCCAGCCGTAATGAGACTGTTGGCATCAACTGTGGCTCATCGCTCTATAGTGGCCCGTGAAACGCTGACTCTAGAGCAGCAAGCATGATTACGGCCATGCGGGGGCTGCGGTGGCCAAACATTCGCATGCCGTCAGCTGCTAGAACGTCATGCGTGAAAACAACTCACAATTTTAGTATTCCTGGATTTCCAAGGCGCATTCGTCTAGGTTGACCGGCCTGTTCTCCTTGGCCCGCTTACCCATCGAGGAATGCCCTGGAAATTCATGGACATAATAAGGTCTTTGTATTATCAGACTTCAGGGCGTGAGAGTATACGGTGAGCGTTCCAAAAGCTTCCTCAAACAAAGTGCTGTCCGTCAGGGGTGTCCACTCTTTTCATTCCGCTTTGACTTTGTGATCGATGAACTTGAGACGTACACTGGAAGGTCTCCAAACCCCAGCGTCCAAATAACCTGTGACGCAAAAGTGGTTGGCCTGGAATATGCAGACATCGTTCTCGTCTTAGAAGAGGAGTTGAAGGCGCAAATGTTTTTGGATGAACTGACCAAAGTCATCTCTTCCTTTGGTATGCACTGTGCACCCGCGAAATGTAAGGTTATGCTCGTAGACACGCAGTCACTGAATACGCCACTTACAATCCAGGGAGACATTGAAACTTGTGAAGCGCTATAGGTGTCTTGGAAGTTGTATTAATTCTGATTATAGTGTGGCAGATGAGGTCAATGCAAGAATCTGCAAGACCCGGATCGCGTTTGCTTATTGGAGACACCTATAGCATCAGAGTGGTTTACCTAAATGGACGCGTGTATCAAGCTACAGTGAGGACTGTTTTCTTGTATGGCTGTGAGCAGCGAAACTGAGACGTCTTCAGGTGTTCGACAATCGTTGTCTCAGAACCATAGCTCGTGTGGGATGTGCCGGCGAATCCATAACGAGACAATTAGAAGGCGAATTTTCGCTTATGCAACACGTACTTCCACTGAAGGTGTTTAGCACCAAAATCTGCGTTGGTTGGGACATGTGTTGCGTATGCCGAAGAGAGTGCTGTTTTCCATGCCCAATTCAGAGTGGCGGAAGCAGAGAGGTGGCCAATCCTTGACCTGGCAAAGGGGTATGAAGGAGACCACGAAACATTTGGGTGCTATCGATTCAACTCGCCTTCCAGGACGGTGACTGCGTGATCCCCACTGCGTCTGGTTTAAGATATGGCTGCCAACCGATATCAGTGGCGTTATTGTCAGTTTCTATCCACATTGTCTGACTGAGTGTCTGGAGGCGTAAGCACCTCGGAATGATTGTAGTAAGTTAGCGCCAAGTCCCTTCTACACAATAAGGCTTTCAAATAAATTATGGTTGTATGGCAGTGAAGGGTCAGTGCTGAACACTGATGTCATGCTATCGATGATGGAAACTTCCCACCACTTATACCTGAATAGATCAATAAATCTGAGCAGATTAGGAACATATCTTCAACTGACTGAACAGGAAATGTAGCCAACTTTCGACAGAGGTTGTCCAAACTTTTTCTGAACCATACTGGAATCCTCTTCGGACTAGAAGCCAGCCGACTCGTATCCGGATTTTGCACACCCCTGAGTGACACACTGCTCAATCGCACATATAGTTCAGGATTTCCTTGTAAAATGGACTGTACTCGAATGAAACAAAAGAACAATGGAAAGGATAACTCAGGAATGCAATTATTGACGAACATCGGTGCAGAGTTTGAAAAGCGGTGCACAGATTCCTTTACAGTCACAATCTGTATGCGGGGTAATAAGGGTGTCTTGAAGTGGGGAAAATCGGTGGGCAACGGGTTCTACATGACTCCTTATAGACAACGTGCAAGTTTTGACAGGCGCAGCTACATTCAGTCCCAGCGTGACCTACCGCTGGAATGTGCCAACTCGACCGTCTGTCAAACGTAGTAAACGTTACGTGGTATGAATCGGATCCCAGCGTCAAGTTTCATATCCTTGTCACAAAATGGCGCCAGTACACGAAAAACTTAAGCACACAAGTACGAGACCAAACGATTGGAACGAAAACAAGGGAATATATCGCAAGTGATCTTCAGCACCGTTTCAGAAGCACATACAAAGGTCACAGAGCAAGAGACCAACTAAATGCAAATGGAGTTCGATAAAAGCTCACACCCAAATCGATGACGTTGGAATAATTCCGGATCCCAAAGTTAACATAAGAAATGATGTGAAAATCCAACAAGAACATTCCACAGGAAACCCGTTGGTGCACAAAAGAACTGTGATACGAAGGATATATATTCTGGGGATTGTTTCATATATAAAGGGGCAAACTAGAGTAAACCCCCAACATATGATCTTTCGATTTGCGCTTGGTTTCTTCGTGTTCTCCAGACTGCATATGTTGCGTTAGAAAGCCGAAAAAGCGGGTGGCCAGCCTACCTGTGAATTGCCGACAGCCCTACTGAGTCAAAGTGCCACAGCTGATCAGGTCGAACAATGAGTGATAGAGCAATTGGGAAATGCGAGACTGTTCAGAACGCGAAATTTTGAGTCAGTTGATAGGAAAGGCGGCCTGCCTGGCTTACATGAGCAAAACAAGGTGTTTTCACAAAGAGATCTTGTTACTTTTGCACAGTGAACTTTCAAATCCTGGTGTTCGTTTCGGATTCACCAAACTAGTCCTTTCGTCACCAAATTCATACTCCCTCCCACAAACGAATTCAAACTGTCAAGATGGGACAATAAACGCACATATCTGTTCTTCCGGAGACAGTTAGCATAAGGCATATACTACTTCGTCAACCTGTTTCACGGAGACGTATGGAAAATATTAAACTGGGCTGTGACCGTAGGGTTTTCTAGCCTTGGCACAAGAGAATCCTAGCAAACGTTTACTGGTATTGGGGAAGCTCATCCTGCAGCTACAGGCACACGGGCTTCCAGTGTATGAGCATTCAGTACGGAATAAAACCGAATTTGTGTAATAACACAACATAAGCGCAACGAATGTTAAAAACTAAGCAATATTTAGAATGTGCCATTACCTGCCAATCAACCAGGGATCCACAATGTACAGCCCATGTGAAGTTTAGCGAAATCCAGCGTGTATTCTTAAAACGAAAATGTCACTACAGAAGACGTATCAGTGCACCACTTAGCGGAAGTTTTCTGGTAAAGAATCGATGCAGGCAGATAGGGGTAGAATAATGGTCCCTCCACAAAGCGGTCGATTAGAGCGTTCGTTAAGGATAGTCACCCAAGCGAAGGAGCAGCATACTGCTCTCCTTTGGTGGTAAACGCAAGGTTGCATACTCATGGGATAAGTGTTAGTGGCCTAAGTCACCAGACCCTAAAGCTAGAGTTGGTCAGGGGAAGGGGCTAACGACCATCCAGCACGTTATATCTCTGCCTTCATAGCCGCATAAACGTAGGAAGTTCTCTGAGTCATCAAATCAAACGGACAGCAATAAACGTAAAGTCAGCTGCTTCGAATACATCACAAAATAATTGGAATCTTCGTCATTCAAGATCGAACATGAACATTTTTGGATTCTTGGTACGTGTCACTTTTAAGGCCAGAAACGTGCCCGATCGTCAGGGAAACTGAGATATCCAGACAAAGATATATTTATTTTTGACAGGTGAAAGGTAATTCGGTCAGTTCTGCCATGTAAAAAAGACATCGGGGAGTAATTGCGAAAGGAAGTTTATCGACTCCGATAATAACCGAAACCAAATTTGTACCGTTCACAGTTTGGAAACCACCTCCCAGAAGCCCTGAAGCAGGTATCGTGACGCTAACGTCAACAACGGCACAGCGGTGGGTATACCGGGACAAGGACCCTGACTTCCAGCAATGTCGAAGTGCGTGTATGGTAACGGTTTCTCCGCGTTTGTCATGTGCTAAAGCGCAAAACAAGGTTACGTGCAATTGTGGGTATATCCTAAAAAAGTCAAAAATTTCCGCGCTACACGTGAATCATCAGTAATTCCTCGAGAAACTAACCTACAAAGTCGTTGGGGAGGTGAGCCAACCAAACAAGTGCTTACGCTGATTAGGATAAGAATCAAATCGACGAAAAACCTACATGACGTAGCATTTACACAAATTTGGAATTACTTCTGCAAAAGGGCCTCTTTGTTGACTTTACGGGAGATAAGGTGCGGCTGACTGAGACAGTCCCTGGTAAGTCGGACTTGTCTTGTGGGAACGTGTTGGAAGCAGTTGCCAACACAGCGAAATCCAGTCCCGTGGACACATTGAACGAGGCATAACCAGTTTGCTAGACACTTGGAAGATGTTTCATCGAGCCTAGCATGGAAAGCCAGTCAAGTGTGGCTTGCACTTCAACCAAATTATTGTGCGGCCGCTCAATCAGAGCACAGTAAGTGCTCCAGGATCCATAGCACCAACGCGACAGTTCTAGAAAGCACCTGACTTTCTCAATTAAGTCGAGTGACGTCGAGTCAGCGGTGGTTTTCAGGAGGTGCATTTTCCATCAGCCTTAACCTTAGCCATATCGATCAATGACCCCTATTTCCTTGCAGCCACACGCTGATAGATGACATCAAACTAGTGTATGCCCCATCAAACTCAATACTGATTTACTTTTCAGTTGTGCGACGAACTCAAGTGGCCATTTTATTGAAATCCAATCATATCCGAACCGGGAATGTCAATTGTTTTATCCGTTCAAATTATTCAGTGTCTTTCTCTTCCGGTGATTCCCCAAAGAATCTACTCCACCTCATTTACCATTCCCAGAATGAGGACACGCAGAAGATAATTCGCGCGTAAAAACCTGGTAAAAATCCGGTTTTTTATTGGCTAACTGCGAGTTCATAAATCCTAGCTTCAACCAACGTCATTGCCATTTCGATCGAGTTAAGCAGGAAAATGACTTATTGCCACACGTTGCCGAGGATAAACTAAGAAAACTTCCCTATTGTCGAGACGTCCATGTTACCAGTATCGTAGAGATTAACATAGGAGATATCCTGCACTACGCTTCTGCTTTAAACTTCCAGTCGAGCAAATCAATTTTCAACATCCAGTCATCCTCGTCACGACCCAAAATCCTTCTATAGGATCAAACCCTTCATCTTCTAGAACGTTCGCACCTCCGCAACTCTGCTAATTAATTGGATTGTCAATGTGTTAAATTGTCAAATCAATTTGGGTTTTCTGTTTCGTTGGTGAGTTGAATGTGATTTGTCGTTCTTATTGGGTTCTTCCGGTCATAGCCCCTCACATTTTTCTTCATTCACTTGTATAAACAACAGAAGAAACGAACAAAGTTCGTGTATTTGAGAACTGATATCGTGTAAGGTTGCGTTTGTCGCAGGTCCACAGACTACCGTTATCAATCGCGGTTCAGTTTCGCTCCAAATAGTTAGACCGGAGTCCACAGTCCGCGTAAAATAAATTGTGCAGGACCTTAGTCTGAAAACTGTGCTATACAGAACAAGGCTATGTGAACAAAGTTCACCACTAGGTATATGAAGAAAAACTAGGGCAAACGTGCATAAAATTGATATAAGTAGGCGAAATACTTCAAAAAGACCATAAATAACTCACAGATCGAGAGACCGAAAAGGTTATTTTTGCAGGTTAATTGCTCTGTTCCGTAAAGAATTAGGTTAACGGTTCCAAAATACTTGAACACCTATTGGATGGCATCGATCACACCGAACAGAGTTACAGTCATGAGTGCATGAGAGTAGCCCTTGCAACTGCATATCGTGGCAGCGGCAAGGTTGGAACATATCGCGTCAGGACTCAAAGTAAAAGGCTCAAGAGAGGCGGCTAACCATACATGACCACATGTTCAGAGAAACGGACATCGATCCAAACTGCTAGATTCGCTAGTGTCATCGGTGACAACAGCACCAAGAAACACTGGAGATTCACTGCCGTTCACAATTCCCGCAGAAAACGTACCGAATCTAACCCAGATGCAACTATCATAAAAGCAGCAGGTGATTGATGTCCCCGAACACGTTTTCCTCCAACTGGACGAGCCGCGTTGATGAGGTCTGCATACTCCTCTTGGGCTTTATGGGCGTCAAAGTCTTCACGACGAAGTGTTGATATCTGTCATAAAAAAGAAGTAAATACGAGAACTCCTGACCCACAAGAGAAACACCGGATGAACGCAGTTAGACGGTGGATCTAAGGGCACCCGCTCAGAGCTGTTAATTTCCGAAACTGCACAAAACCATATAAATGTGATTTATAAAAATGAGTTTCCGTCAAAGTTTACAATTAAGCAAGATTGAAAACGGTGGTGTATATGGACCTGCATTAATTGTCCTAGGAGTGTTCCGATCATTTCGCCATAGATCTTCATGTCGGATGTCATTGAACCATCGCTTTGTAAACATTACATGAATTGTAAGTAATACTTTATAACAGAGCATGCAACTAGGAGACTACCTTTATGGACGGTACATAACATCAGTCCAAGCAATCCCTCCTAAAAGAGGCTAACCACCGTGGATGTTTGATGCTAAATTTCCATGCAGTCACCTGCCCCTGGGACTGCCACGTACAAAAATAGCTCAGCAACAACAACAACAACAACAGTCGTTCAGCTGTAGCACCCTTTCGGTGCCTAACTGCCATGCCACCCGAAGGTTGCACGAGGGCTGGGATACTGCCAAGTTGCCCAAGCCTAGACAGAGGAAGACGAGAGGCAGAGGTCGGGTTCGAACCACGGACCTTCCCAAAAATAGCTCATGTGATGGGTGACTTTGCTGTATGAATGCCGGCTTGTGAAGGAATCAGATCCCGATGTTTCGTTATTTGGAAGCATTGCGACTGCCATTAAATAAAGTTTCCGAAACACCATTAGCATAACCTCGCTCCAGTATGCGATTCTAAAATAGCACGGACGTATCTAACAAGGATGTTAACCATTTATTATAATTCCGTTTTACCAACGCCCGTTGTTGGCCAGTTCTCAATTTACGGCGTGCAACCGTAAAGGTTTGATCAAGACACACTCTGAGCAAACGAGCTTCGTAATTAATTCTACACAGCAAACCAACAATTCCTAAGGGAGGTATGGTTGTATCAAGAGTGGATAGTAGGACAAGTGGGTTAGCAACGAACGAACTTAGATCATTCCAGTTTGTTTATAGAAGCTCAGATGCTAACCACTGAATTGAGTAAAGATGCACAAGCGGTGTCAAACATGATAATGCAATGACGGTACACCAGACGGTTTTGGAGGATTTGGCAGGTTAACTTGGCAGGATAACTTGAATCCATATTGTGATAAATGGAACGTTCATGCTGGGTGATCGAGAATATCCACACAGCCTTCTAGGACTGTTGCGATTCTCTTCGATCATCAAACGATAACCGATTGGCGTCTTTGAAGCGACTAAACCATCGCCTGAAACATGTCTTCCCTATTTCTCCTGCCATTGATGAAGGAATCTCTAGCACCTAGAACTGACCAACTGAATCACTGAGCTGAATGTGAAGGCCTCACGATGACAATAATGGATATTGGTTCGCCTGTAACACCTTCCGGTGCAAACACAAGGGCTGAGACACAGCCAGGTTACGCAAACCTAGACAGATGTATTAAAGGTGCCGAGGTTGGATTCAAACCACGGACCTTTTTGGTTAGCGGTTTCGCGTCTTAACCACTATGCTATCTCCCACTCGTCGGCTACCTTACTAAATAATTCAAGTGCGGGTAGTTCGCACTGATATCTAACATCTACACCACCCAACGTATGTTGTGTATTAGTCGACAGACGATGAGTGCCAGATTTTGCAATTATTCAAACGCATGCATGACTCTGGTGGGGCAAGAAGTTAACATAGGTTTCATAACAAGCGGAAGTATGTACAGAATAACTTTCACACAAGATGATCAAACTGGGCTCTCTCTCGTCTCTTGATGATAGCCAATTTGCTACAATTGGAATAATGACAATAATTCAATCAGTACGACTATCAACCTTCGGAGTGTAGTAACTCACAGCCGCTCAAAAGCATACAATATGAACCAGCAATATAAACCACCACGTGTAACCTGAAATGCGGCCCGCTACCAGTAAGCCCTTTCTAGTCCGTTGGACAGTGGGATGGTTGATACAAACACACATTTATACTACAAACCATTAAACATAGATTCGAACTCAAGGGCTTAATTACATCATCACTGATTGTAAATGTCACGGTTGTATACGGGTTGGGATACTGCCAGGGCACCCGAACCTGGACAGGATGAGTAGGGTCATCAACCACAGCACTTGGCTCAAAATCGGGCCGCAAGGCAGCGCTGGTTGGTTTGAGATTACTTCAGTGGTCCAAATTCCAAGGAAAAAATTGCCACACTTGATGCAACTTCCAACCTGGAGGGCCAGGAGACTATTTGTCGGACCTCTATCTACTGACAAACCTGGCAGGGCAGACTGTGGATGCTGCACGGGCATCCTGCAGTACAGATCAATGGGTTACCGAGGTACGCATACCGTCGCACAACGATAAGGTCCAGTCTCTCCGCGACGGCTAAATAAGGGTTTATCTGAAAAAATCTCACAAGCAAAGTCATCAAAAGAGATTAAGACCGAACCGCTAGACTAAATTTACAATTACGGAAATTCCAACCTGGGGGCCAGGAGACTATTTGTCGGACCTCTATCTACTGACAAACCTGGCAGGGCAGACTGTGGATGCTGCACGGGCATCCTGCAGTACAGATCAATGGGTTACCGAGGTACGCATACCGTCGCACAACGATAAGGTCCAGTCTCTCCGCGACGGCTAAATAAGGGTTTATCTGAAAAAATCTCACAAGCAAAGTCATCAAAAGAGATTAAGACCGAACCGCTAGACTAAATTTACAATTACGGAAATCCAAACAAGCGTGAACATTTCTTACGAATCTCGACAATGTATCCAAAGCAAAGTAACTTAATCGTTACCTGCTGCTACATATAGACATCCAAATACGTCCTTGTCGCTCTCAGTAAAAAGAGCTTGAGGCTGAAAATGTTTTCGTCAGCTACGTCACGACTAGTACGCTACAGAAGGACAATGCTCCACGAAAGACTTTACTGTCAAATATAAGGATACGATTCCACCCAAATAAGAGTCTAAACGTTCTGCAGAGGGCAGTGTAACAGGTGCAGGAAGGTGAAACTCTGCAACCTACACCAGCAATTAGACTTCGAATGGAAGGTTCCCTCCTTGAGGTCATTCGTGACTGAGATGTTGTGGAATAATGTAGTCAGTCAAAATACCACGCGCAACACTCAAGCAGTACAGAACACGGTTGAATGATTGAACGCGCTCATTCCAAGGGTGTGCTGGTGATCAGTTCAACTAATCATGTTTCGTAACTCAGCGCCACAGGAGTCTTGTCCGGAAAACTTGACACTTTTGTCACTTTTACCGCTCACCCAATGACTATGATACGTATGATTTTTTAACATCTTGAATGTCAACGAAGAACGTGTTATCCGATCCGGAAGCGCTACTGACAGTGGTGCTCTGGTGACATCAGTCTCCACAGTGCCCAATGGTTCGTTTCATACAACTCCCACTGACCAAGCTGACCACGAGGCAGCGTTTTTCATTGCCAGTCTTCTTTAATTCGTAAGTCAACTGGCCAGGAAGCGGAAAGTCCGATCCTGATGACGACTACACTTTTAACCAATCGCCAGTAAATAGAGTAGTGAGGGAGAACAATTGATGTTGAAGAGAAACGGAGCCTAAGATGGCAAATAGTGCCATTGGGTCGTATTCTAACCCACCAAAGAAAAGTTGCATCTACTCCTCCAAAACAAATCAGAATCAAGTGGAAAGTGGTTAACCATTCATATAAATCTGCTTTTATGAGCCCAGCCAATCAGCACTATACTTCGTAATTTGGTGAAGAAAACTTCATGGCTAGCCATACTAAAAATTACAAAGTACAATACGTAAAAAGCTTAGTGCAACGTCGAGCGGTAGGTAATCAGACGACGGGGAAAAAGAACTCCAAGTCTCACCTCGTGCATTTCGCCTAGCAGCTCGCCATAACTTTGGAAGGTCTGATCAGCTCCCATGACGCGCGAAGGGCCGTTAGCTACTATTCCCTGTCAAAAGTACAATAACACGAGTGTTTTTTCGGAAGACAATTGGAATTTCGACGAGCTACCTAACAAAAGAATTAGTGTGTGGGGAAAACCGACCTGGTAGACGGCGTCAGAGAAATGCACAACACAGTTGTGTATTGCACGCCGGATGCACCAGAGTACTACGAACAGCAGCAGGTTCAGATTGATTTGAGTGAACAAATGAAACATCCTCTCTTTCGGATTCTGTCGTTTTCTACCGAGATCCCCGTAATGGACCATCTCAATTGTGCACCCGAAGACAACCTACCTAAATCAAATGAGGTGAAATGCATCTACAAAAGAGGCTTAACCCTTCATCCATGAGTGTACGTCCGCTTGCACCAAAATAGTCTTTTGTACTAATGTCAGAGTAACCACACATTGGTGCTCAGAAGCGCAGGCGAGAAGCCACCAAATTCTAAGTGGGTAAGCTAGTTCACCACACTATATTGATACCATCAACCAAAGGATACCGAAGAAAGTGACCAGTTCATCAACGACTGGAATAGTATTAACTAGCTTGAATTCTCGAACTGGTCCCATCAGGTTTCCATGTGCTCGCTGTATCAAATCTAGATGGTTCTAACCACAACACAACAACTCGTATCAGAAGCTTTGGTCATTTTTCGAAGATCGGCACTCTATGTGGACTTTCACCAAGGAGTGACAAATTGGGTTCAACAAAAATCTACCTAGGACTCTAATTTGTGGCCAGTTGCTAGATGAAAAGGGGAATGAAAAGGGGATGAAAAGGGGAATTCACTCATTTCAGTGTGTGACAGATCTCAGCATTTATCGAATACTTAACAAACGCAATATCCATCTGGACCGGAATTCGATTTACAGCTACATCAATATGGGTAAACAGGTTTCTAACAGCAGACAAGCCATATACGCGGCGGTTTTGTATACTGTAACCAAAGGTGTTCAGAATCGCCAGGTGGCTTTCGAAAAATATGGAGTTTTTCTATACTGTTTGCAGGTGTTCAGATTCATGACGTTTATTGGTTATTCGGAGGAAGGGGTGACAAAGACGTGGACTTTGGGAGGGTGGTGGCACAGTAAATCTGACAGGTGTGTTTGCTATTATTTTAGTGGGTTTTTATCATCAGTTGCAACACATTAAGGTATGGAGCTTTTGACTTCAAGTTTCCTGATAATGCTTACCGTGTAGTTTGGTCCGTATGACAATACAACATGCCCAGTCAAAGTTGCAAATGTCATGAGATGCGGGTTGACCACCTGAAGTGCCTGTATAAATACAATAAAGTGGTTTATATTTGAAACATACTGGATTTCAATCTACAGGTACACTTTCTCTCAACATAACACAATCTATGAGGCTGCTTAAAACTCTTCAACAGCCCATCACGAATTTCGCCCTTCTTGGGACTCACCAGATACGTGGAGGCACCGAGGTTCCATCGGCCTTGTTCTCTACTTGAACACCGAATTGCAAGCGATTGGCGAAAAATGCAGAATATAGAGCATACACAATTGTCTTCTCGTAAGGGTACTGAATAGATGTAGTGAACTTTGATTAGGTTTGGTGATCCTCTAAAGAAAGAAGGGTCCCTACGTTTTTTTTCATTTTGCCGAGAATGGCTGAGTTCCATCGTTGAGCATTTTCTACTACTTCCAGTCGGTAGCCCAAGTGGTCTGAAGAATCAACTGACCAGAATATAATCAATGACTGAAATCCACGGAAAAGCTCGCCGTGGAAAATCGAAATTCTTAATTGAACAACTCGTGTTTCTTTACGCATATTACGCGTCCGTATGCACTCTCAATACAAATGAAGAAACCTGCTTTTTGATGCTTCGTTCTTCCAAATGGCATCATCAATGCGGATGTATGCAGTACAGTATTTCGTTCCTGAGAGAATACCTGCAGATCTGCGCCATAAGTGATCGCTTTTGGGGATGTTCTCTTGTGATGGCAGTCCCTTTACCAAGACAATACCGTGAAGAACGTGCTGAACCCTAGGTCACCTAAATGATACGATGTGCTTAACGGTGCAAACAGGTTGACTAATTCTAGGGATAATTAAAATCCCGTCTAAGCTTGTCACCACCTGCTGAAAAACAGCGAGAACACCGAACGTCAACGTTAAAAATTCTACTGGCAATCATCGAGCTTCCTGATCTAAAAATGTCTGGCAGAGACCTGAAGCGAACAAATATCAGCACGTCTGACCGTTAGGTCCTCCCGCTTCCTTAAGCAAACAGTTGGTCAAGCTAGCAATTCACACCTCACAAACTCGTAATGTTACCCCGCGCAAGCTGGCTTTGATCGGTTTTTATGCTAGGTATCACAGAAATCCACGTTCTGCACAAAAGCACAAACGAATATTTACCTGTTCCTTTGCTTCACATAAAAGATCCGTCATGACCATCCGACCTTCAGCATCAGTATTATTCACGCGTACGCGTAGTCCAGCGCGCGAAGTTATAATTTCATCGCTGACGTAAGCATTCGAACCGATACTGTTCCGGACAATTGCCAGGCTGCCGTGAAGCTGCAAAGTTGTTTAGATAAACAACTAATATAGAGACAGAGGAAAGGCAATGAAGTCGGAAAAACATTTGGATCGGAACAGGAACGTCCCGTAATACTTTGGATGGTCATTGCTAAATCGGGCACACAAAGAACTCATTCGCTATAGGCTTTCCGCCCGCAAATGATTCACCCCAATAACTCGCGGTTTGCACGTAAGCACCAGTAAGCACCAGAACAAAATAAAACCACTACTTCTCACACAAATCCCATCTGAAAATCGTTTAGAACACAGCGCTTCATCTTTCAGTTTAGAACGTGGTCACGATGCCTCAGAGAAATGAATGGTGCTCGATCTACTACAGTTTGAAGCGAAAACAGGATATTCGAGTACACATGGTATACACTCCCAAATAGAAGATGGGAAATGCGACCGAATGTCATGAGTCCTACGGCCTAACGAATGCAGGCGGCTCCGAATCGCACTGCTTTCGATCCTGTGCTTTTAGCCTTTGAGTAATCTGAGTATTCGGGATTCTATCTGAACAACTGATGCAAATGGTCCACTGCAGACATTGCAGAAGAAGTCGACTGAAGTTTCGGATATGGTGCCAGCAGACAGTCTATGTCTCACTGTTGTAAACGGGAGTAGACAATACGGTAGTGGTCGTTCCAAATATGTCGCTGAATTATTCCACTATCATCCACCTCCAAGTTTCGAAAATTTCGGTGCCTCCGAAAACAGCCGCTTTATAAACAGCACCATGAGTCGTAAAAGAAGGCTGCAGACGTTAGAAGCTCTCATTCTGCTTCAGAATGGGTCAATAGAGCAAGCCGTCATCAAAAAGCAACACATATCCCCTACTCATACACTGGGAACATGTGAGGATCCATATAGTTCTGTAGGATGGCGGAGATGCTTAAGTTCCTGTACTTCAATTTTCAAAAATTTAATAAATTCGCGGTGAAACGGATAGTAGAGCGGGTCCAGATAGTATCGTTTCACATAGCCAAACCAGAGGGCTATACCTAGTTGGCCACCAAGAACTTTAATGTAGATGGCTCAACTGTGCACCCGGGTTTGCACACCTATTCGGATCCTCAAAATGAGTCCTCAGTGTGAATAAGACAGCTGGAAGACATTATTCCGTTTCTCGATGTGGAGTGGCTGAGATCAGCAATCGAAATCAAGGGATTCCAAACCAAGATGGACACCCAAGATCTGTGGTCAACTGATCAGATGAATAGTAGTAATGTAGAGTAGTGAATCAACGGAATTATCATAAATTTCATCAAAAAATCCCTCGTTTTAAACAAAAGTAGCCCACATTCCGCGTCCACTTCCCCATGAGACGACGATGATAATCCATAGGGGGAATATAGGGGGGCACACCGCCTTCATAATTCAAAACAATGTACAAAAAGGAACTTACCCTTAGTTTCTCAGGCTTCAACAACGCGGCTGTTTTGAAAAATCCTACAACAGCAGCCGCTCCACACTTGTCCCGGTGCATTGTGGCCATAATCCCTCCGACTTTCAAATCAGAACCACCTGTATCATAAACAATCCCCTTGCCGATCAGGAATAAGTTGGTAACTTCTGAGCCATTTGGGTCATCGGCTAATGGTCCCGAATATTCCAGATGGACTATGGCTCCTCGGTGACGTTCATTGCCTAGACAGAAAAAAAGGGTGCTCAAAATAAATGAGTACATTCATGGGGCCGAGAAAGTGAGCGGTGGTCAGAGGAACAGAATGTGATAATCCCATCACACGGTTTAATCACAAGCAACGGAGGTCTCTCAATGAGAGTTTACTACAACCCGAATTCCACTTTTCACTTTGTTATACATCTCTATGCTTCCCTATCAGAACCACTGGATTCGGCTTGAATTGAGTGTGCCAACCACTGTACCAGGACACTAACTGATTTCAACATTGGTCAACCTACGGTACTCCGGTCACACTATAGGAGGCAGTGCTAATGCGTCACAAAATTTCCCGTTTTTTTATTAGAATCAATCGTTGAAATGGGCTTACATTGGAGCATGTAGATCTTCGGCTTTAAGGTCCACCTGGAATAAGTAGCAACTAAACTCGCCTCTTCGCCTAATGGAGCCAGCAAATCAAAGCTGTCTGTGATCACGAGGAAACAGACAACATACATAGAAAACGTGGACGTCTAACTAAACAGAATGAATGTCATTTGCGGGTTTCGAATAAAAGGTTAGATAAATTCAAAAGCGACTATTGGCTATGGTGCATACGCTGTCACAACAGAAGTAGAGCCTCTAGCAAAGTACACTCATTTGCAAACTACATTGGGTTTAATGAGTGAAGCAGCTGAATTTCTCGTTTACGATATTTTTCAACTGAATGTACTGAGGAAAGTCCGCCCCATGTTTCAGTTCGCTCTAGAGGCCCTGATGTCAGACTACTTATTGGCCTTGTGGAACTGTTCTTTCGTTCTCACTTGAAAACAACTTAGGCTTTCAAGAAGCTGCTTCCAGGCGAGAACAGTCGCATTGCAACAGAACGCTCTCTTGAACAGTGATGAAAGCTGAGGACCACGAAACATGGTGAAGAATAAAACAGTGGATTGAAACCAACTACATGATGGGCCTCGCATGTTTGGATTTTAACTTCAAGGTAATCTGACAGCCTGTGTTAAGATTCTTTGCGTCAGCAAGCTGGGTTGGGATTAACCCATCATCACTACCTCACTGAATGCCAACAACTTTGAGCCGGAGTATAACTCAGAACGATGTTTCAGGGTAAACCCTCTAATCATGTTCCGTAATAGATGGACAAAGTTGCCAAACAAGAAGAAACTGCCAAAATGTGTGGCATATTAGCTATGCGAACATTCGGTGAGTTCGAAGCTTCTGGGAGCCAGTTTGTTAGTTCGCGAAGTTAATGCCCCTTCAAAGAACACTTTGTATGGGTAAATCAGCCCAAACCATGTGACCACCAGAGTTCAGCAGTGCACTCAAACGGTACCTACTCTATATACTACTCCACTCCACTCCGCTCCGCTCTAGCTCGACCTCGGAACCAGATGGAAACCGATGAAAAATTTCGCATATTAAAAACAACCTACTGCCTCGATCTACAGCAGCAGCCAGAGGATAGAGTGTCGCATCCACCGGACCCGTTTTAACCACAACGCCAGTATCACTCAGCTCTGCCTTGATGTAATCAACAATGCGGCTAGCACACATGCGTTCAGGATCAGATCCACCTATGTCACGGCAAACGCGACGGCCCTCCTCGAGACACCAGGCAATGTGCACCTAACAAAGAGAACAGAACATAATCTAATTTTGGAAGCAACAGCAGTGAAATCTTGTACAAACAGAACAAAAAAACGTACAAATTAAACTGCCATGTTTAAACGAAAGCTGACAACCAACATGAAAACAGGTGGCTCTGGCTGAGGGTTTCCTTCCAAGTCAAAAACAAAGCACCATCGTCAGTTTATGAATGTCTATGGTGTCATCGTGTGCAACGAAACTGTGATAATGCCTGGTTGTGGTTAGTCAAATGATCTGCCGTGAGGTGGGGCTTTGCAACTAAATATTGATTTTACAATCTTGTGAAACACCTTCATCTGTGGGAAAACTGAGCAAAACTCGTCTCCAAATGCCAAACGAATACTGGAAACTCTAAACAGCGGTTCTGAATTAGGAGCAGTCATAGCCAGAGTTTTAAAACGATTTTTCATGGACTCCAGTAAAATGCACCACTTATAAGGTTGCTGAAAATTCGTCGACAGTCCGCGACCAGTTTCGTTCTTCTTGGGACTCATCAGGTAGGCGAAGACCCCGAGTTTCCGTCAAACTTATGTTCTACTTGTTCGTAGCGACTGAAACGGCCTGGTGCAGCACATTCGGCTGCCTGGAAACATCACAAACAAGTGATTCAGCTGGGTTCCAGTTGAGTATCTCGCAAAACCAAATTCGTTTCCAAATGAGTGTATTTCGCTAAGGTAAACAAGATGTTGTACGACCACCTAAATAGGGAGTAAAAGTGCATGATGCTGCATCGGTACGAAAAGACCTTTCATTGGTGGGGACGTATGTAGATATTTATCGACCTCAGATCCTTTGGGAAGTGACAATTCTTATGATCATCTTATGCACCGGTTTTCTGTTGCCGTTCATGGTAGTCATTGTAAACTGGTGACTTTTCGGCTTTGCAATAGGACAACAAATGCGGTCCTTGTGAGTAGCTATTCGTTGTGTTACAGGCCTTGCAAGGAATGACCACCACGTCACTCCAGAAATCTCGCACTATTATTAGCAATTTTTAAAGTACGTATATCATTACTTCCTCATATGTTCCAGGAGAGAACTACCCCAAAGCTAAGGCCACTTAGGTCGGTCTCCGGTAGGTGACCACTATTCATTGATCAAACCTTGTGAAGTATTTATCAATGGATGACAGTTACGAACAGAACAAAAAGCTGAAAGCGGCGGGCCGAAGAGGTAGCACAGGTTAAGAAGTATCATAAATTTGTTAGTTTGTCCACGCTCATGTTTGACAGCGCATCGGATCGCCGTCCGTTCGAAACTCGTATCTAAATCTTTCGACTCGCTTTTTTGATGGAGCAGTTACGGTAATACTGCTCTAGCAAAAAAGCGGGTCGAAAAATTTCGAACCGTTCCTTTCGATACAAGCTTCAAACGGACGGCGATCGGATGCACTGTCAAACAGCGTCCACTGTGACATCTCATTGGATGCAAGACAGAATGTCCGCTAAGGCGTGGTTCGATATGTAAACATGAGCGTGGACAAACTAACAAGTTTATGGTGATTCTTAACCTGTCAGCAGACATTTGCTGACCCACCACTTTCAGCTTTCTGTTCTTCTGGTAACCGTCATGGATCAGCTACCGTAAGACTGGGGTCGAGATGGCTGTGGTTAGGGCAAGAATTTAAACTGGAAGGTCCGTGGTTCGAATCCGACGAGTCTCTTGACTTTCCCTGTCTAGGCTTGGTCAACCTGGCAGTATCCCAGCCCTCGTGCTTCCTTCGGATAGCATGGCAGCTAGGCACCGACGGGGTGCTGAACGATTATCTTCAGGGTTAAACTCCAGCTCTTCTTAAGGACCCACAGAATACACGTTTCGTGCCATACCTGGTGGTTAAATTCTGACCAGCTAGCTGAAACACCGCTTCTGGCTGGTTTGAAATGGATATTTTCAACGCAGCACTCTCAAGAGAAACACAATGGTGCGCTGTAAGGAATTGAAGGAGCAAACCAAAGAAAGCAGTCGGGAAATCTGTCCAGTTTTGGGTACCGTCAAAAATACTGTGAGGGCATGTAGCGAAAAGTTCAACTTTCACTTCCAGGATTAAAAGGACGAGGGTTAAAAAAGATGCTTAGCGGATTCAGCGGTCTATGGAATAGATATCTGACAAAGTTCTGGCGAAAGTATATGATCAGGGAGAAATTAAGCCAAATAATGGAGTCAGCAAAAAAACGAAATCTCCACTTTTGCAATGAGAAGGAGTGCTTGTTTAGAGCTAAATAAATATGTCTGTGATGTAGTAGCTGCGTGCAACTACGCATGAGTGTCTTTTTCAGAAGCTGAAATCTCCGAAACCTCCACCACGAAAATAGTTTACCACGTTTATTTACGTGTGTCTCGGGGTAGGTATTTGATGTCCATTAGCGTCTGACTCAAGATTCAGCTTTAAAAAAATCTAACCAATGTGCTTTTTCACATGAATGTAGTTTATTTGCATGCAATATGACAAGTCAAATTGGCCAACCATAACTTTGATTTTCTCATGAGACGACATTATGACTAAAATTAAGCCGATCGTAAGGCCGCTGTTTTGAAGAAAATTGTGACCCACCTAACGTGGTAGGGAGTTTGGACATGTGGGACTGCTCAGGATGCACATCTGTCAGAACACACTTAGATACCGGAACATATAAATCAAAGCCCATAGCGCAGAGGTACAAAACTTACCAGGTGAGTGTGGTCAACTGTATACGTGCCAGGAAACCAACCGAGAGAAGTCACTTTGGATGGCTTGACAGACTTGTGTAAGTCAGACTTGACTGGCCTCAATGCGAATTCTCGCACCTCCAGCGGCTGGAACACAAAAATGTTGGAACCAGAGAACAAAAACTTTAACCAACATGAAGCACATATGGATGCGGCTTCACCGACGGCCTGGATGATGAACTAGCAATCGGTGTTCCGTTGCGATGAGCACAGAACCTTCACCAAGTTGCTTAGCTTTTTGTGCACTATTACACAATCACAGCCATGACACTGAAGTCCGTCCTGAAGCTCAGGATACCCGATAATTCTGACTTCCATCTAACAAGTGTGCTGTAATATAAACCATAAGCTAAACACAAACAATTCCGAATGTGCAGTCCCTGTCTATAGGTCCGTAGGTCAAACAGAAGAAGGTTGATCAAATCAACCTTAGGTAGGAGCTGCCACCTAAATCTTATGAGTTTGGAAAGGACGGTTCCGAAATACTTTGGAGCTCTTATGTAAGATGAACTTACTGAAGACTTGATGGAGTCTCTCGCGTTCAATAGCACACTGATATTCTTTCGCACAATTTGCAGCATACATGCTGCCTTGAGATTCCAAAATATCTTATGAGGCTTACAGGTAACGGCTTTATCTGTGAAAACAGATTATGTGTTGGAGCCCGGTTAAGGCCAACAAGCAAACAATACGATCAAAAACAAGATGGACGGGGCCAACACCTGGGAACCTTTATATTAACGTTATTCGTTTCTGGAAGACAACGCTCACAGGAAATCACAAATTTTCCACTCCTGTTGGACATTTCTTATCCTAGAAGGCTTTCCACGCGTCAAGACTCCTCTCAAGGAATGCAGTTGCAAGACAGTGGCGACAAATTCTGAGACGTTATTTGAGATATGTTCAGAAAACGCGAGTGCCAGGCTCAGCCAGTAACTCAATGCTCCATCCTGATGTCAACTAAACACTCATGTGCCACGTGGATGTCCGTAATCGTGATACAGTGGGTTCGATTCACAAAATAAACCATACTAGACCCATTGTAAACCAGTGATATGAGTCCCCGCCTTCCGAGAGCTCCACGTATGAAGTGCTTGTCTATCTTAACGAATAATCAAAGCCTAGGTATATGTTACACACGGTTCATGGCTAAATAACTGAAATGATTAAAAAAAGCTTCAGAAAGCCAATAAAAAGGAAGAGTGTTGGGTTCCCATCTTGTGACAACTCACTGTTTGAGTTCGTTACTATCCCTTGCATACCGTTGAGACTCTTCATCTTAGTTCATAGCATCATCGGCAATGATCCCTTAAGTGGGAATCGTGAGAGTACGATGATGAGCGGATTCAGTATTTCCCGACAAAGCAACCTCTAACTGCTTTTAGAACGGTGCAGGCAACAGAACACCAACGAACTCCAGCTAAACCAGTCATTTTTTAAAAAAATGCTAAGCCAAACCTGAGATAGCTCATCCATCAGGGATTTTGTTTGCAAGATAAGGGATGCGCAGAATGACCTGGAATCCTGTACACTGTAGCTAAAATCTAAGTCGGGTAAAGGGAGTGAAAACTTAGGGGGTGTTGTATATCAGCGGACTGTAAATGAACACCAATCCGACCTCACTATGCATGCACGATTTTCCAAAGTTCTGAAATCCAAATCCGCTGACTTGCAAGCAAAAAGTAAACTGCTAATAGAAGGTTGCAACCGACAAGAACCGTAGAGTTAGGTAAAAAAAAACATAAACAAGGTTACCTGCACCACAAATAATGGGACGACCAGAATATATAAGTATCTATAGCCGGCCACTTAGCAGGGAAATATGGAACCCAAATAAACTGATAATTAAAGGATGAAAAACTCACAACATAGAGTGCATGCAATGCACCAAGTAAAGTGGATAGGCACAAGGCCTCGGGCTTCGCCCAGCTGGGAAGGACCCGTATTTTCTCCAGAGCTTTCAAAGGTGTCAAAGCCAATAAAGGCCTTATGGATCCGATTTTCAAGGCACTACAACGAATAAGGATAATAACTTGAATACTCGTCTGATGCAACTAAATCTGAAACGGGCGTGGAAAAAGATGAATGGGAAGTGCATTCTGTAAATTCGCTAGCTAATCTTAGTAGGATGTGCAGGTAATAGACAAGCGGTTGAACATAATAAGGACAGGACAGAACCCAGATCCGAACAGGTTACCTGCTTAGCCATTTAGAGTGTGTGCGGAATCCTCCCGGAATTATAATCAATCTAAATGAGTAATCAGTCAGCCCGAGTGGATGCGACGATGGTGACAGATTGTCTGGCCGCGTCCTTCCCTCAGGAGTTCGTTTGTGTAGGCTATAATAGCACTATTGGTGAACGACTCGCAGTGAGTCACCCACATGGTTCTCACAACTAATCATCTAGCTCTTAGTAAATATTTCGCCCACGCTTCAGTTTGCGGCAAATCCTACACTTGCAAACACATCAGCGACCGTGAATAGCACCGTAATAAGACTAGCGGCTTGAATATCACAGGATCACTCCAAACAGGCACTCAGCACAGTACTATCGAAAATGGTGCAGAAGCCTTACATCTCTCAGATAATACTTACAAAACAGAGGGCGTGAGGTTGTGTGGATAGACCGTTCACGATATTCTAGTTGGAATTGACAAGTGAGGTTAGCTGGGTTCCGAAATCATCCAAAAACATCCTACGGAAACTGATTTTCGGGATATCGCTAACAACTGATTTAGCTCTGACAAGAATACAAAAACATTTGACTAGAAATCAGTCATTCCGTTGATCCGTCTGTTTTTGTCCTGATTTTTCTTTTGATATAGGGCCGGATACTGCCATCTACTAGTAAGCGGTGCAGACGGGCTGTACTTATCCCACTTAGCATCACTGGTCCTTTAATCGCCACGAGGACTGACCAACATCGGACTAACCTATACGAACTGTACTGCTAAAGAATGAGTGATCCTATATCGGTGTAGGCGATGGTTAACCAGTGCTGATTAGCCATTAGTTGATGAATGATAGGGTTTGACTCCTGAGAAGACTGATGGTTCTTATTAGCTAGAGGTTCACCATATACACGCACCTGATTACAAAAAGGATGGAACGCCTGCTGTGTGTTGCACTGACTGAATTTGCTCGAAATAGAAAATCTGACATCCCCCACCTTGATGGCGCCCAGTTTAAAACTTGGCGTTAAAGGACTGAGAGAAAAATCACAAAAGGAGATACCAACAATTCTGTAGATTGAAAATTTTTCTGCATCTTCCCCAAAACCCATAATACCAAGCTACCCAACAAAAGGGGTAATACTCAAACCAGGGTAAAACGCAAGACGAGATTGCGTAAAAGCCAATCTACAGGAAGCTTTGGAGGCAGTTACGATGCACAGAAAAACAAGAAATCGATTCGGTGGCGTCGTAAAACCATACCATTTGTGGGGAATAGCCCCAAAACAGTCGTCAAAGACCGAAACCCTGATATCGTCTGTGGCGAACAAGTCAAGTAGAAACGGATCTTCCTGAAACCAAGGTCTAGTGTAAAAAGTAGCAATATTGGTTCGGGGGTTTTCAAGTTTGAAGAACCCTAACGTCACGGTTAGCTAAACAGAAAGAAGCCAGTAGAACTAACTGCTACGCCGTAACCGGACTACGAACAGCTTCCAACTAACTCAGCAATGGACTGCGCGCCTTGAAAGTTGTTATGAGTTCTATCAAAATGGTAACCTCATTTCTCGGGTCTCACAGTCAACTCTCCTGAGCTCCTGGTGTGTCCTATTGCCGTGACCATAACTGGAAACACAACAGGCGCAAAATCAAGAGAAATCTGACTGCTTCATCCCAACTGCCTAAACTACGTTAAATAGATAGCAAAGAAAGCAACCTTCTCTTGAAGTCTGTTGGACTTCGATAAACGACGACTAGCATCAATACCTTAAACATCCTGCTCACCGAGTGGACCTTCACTTCAATCATCTCAGCAAAAACAGACCATGTACCTAAAAAGCATTGGTTCCAGCTGCTACAGCCTTAGCCATTAAGTATATAAAAAATAAGGGAATGAGTCACCGTTGAAGGTGAGGACCCAGTCAGGCGACGTCGAATGATTCTAATTGTTAGGTATGGCAGAGAGTGGGAGCCAAGCATTCAAGGCAATACCTCTGATGCAAGATCGCCAGTGACTGCGTGGCATGGCCACATCTGTTCAAGTCGTTAACAATTGGGTTGTCCTGGCCCAGGGTCCCAATTCGGGGAAATGGTAATCTCAAACGCATCTGAGTTGTCTGGTAAAAGCCTTCATGCTTAGCTGCTGAGTCATGAACCGATAACCCCTGGGTCACCTCTATCCAATTAAGGCCGGACGAAAAGAGCCAACGGTCTTCACGAACACGAGTGTGATTAGCTGATCTATCGAGGGAAAGCGAACTTTTCCGAAAACCGCCTAGTGTAACTCAGCATTATCGATCTGATATTTCCACCAGATCCGGCCAGTGTTTCGGGAGCATCGACGGACAAACTCGGTGTCTCCGAAGATCTGCACTCAGTGGTCACGTCTACAAACCACCTGTTGTATACTTGTTCTGTATTTCAAACGTTTAACCATCTATTGCTAAACCACTTTCTTTCGTTTTCAGCTCTCAGTGTCAAAATTTTGGATGAATAAAGCCCAGCTTCCGGACCCCCAGTCTTTTCCATTCTGATTGTCGCTGCACTCCATCCCTCGTCGAACACACCACCAAGCAGGACAGATTGAACAGCAGTATTGTACACTGCCCCTGAAATTCAAGTCAATACGACGAATGTCGAAGGCCTGCAAGAGCTGCTTTTGTTTTCCGAACTCTTGAAGTGATTTGGTTTTTCACCAGCCCAGCGGTACTTGTGCGGCTGCTCAGACAGACGAAACTATCCAGTACATCGATCGGTTAACCTGAGATCATGTTTGGGTTTGGTCTCACCCAATCTTGAAATTGCAATTTCCACATACCGAACTGTGAGGCAGAAATATTTAAGTTTTTATGATAGCGTGCATTTCAAGTCTGATCCAATAATAGCACCAACGGCGGCGTAGTCTGTAAGCCAACCGCCTGTGAGTAGTTCAACCCCAGAGCCAAACGTAGACTTCATATCAAATAAAACGACGACAGTTGGATGTTTAAAAAATTTGTCGCATTTTTGGCAAATCGAAAATACGACCTATGCAACCCAGCTTGATTCTCGCGAATCTGGCATCCCTCATGATAGATTAACGTCCGTAGGATAATACCAGAGCACCTTGACAGCTACGGCAAGCAGACTGTTACTCCGGTGGATTTCGTTCGGTGTAACTGCACGACTTTTAAAAGTAGGAATCACCGTCGAGGCGCTCCACTGTCGGTATATTTTCGCCAGTCTAGATAGTTTAGAGTGAAGTCTGCAGGACAGCCGCGAACGACTTTGGGCAAACGGTTCCAAAAATAGTGGGCATGGTTTAGTTCACCACTCAGCATTTAAACTTCACTACAACCACCGCACACATCGAGTTCCGAAAGCTCCTTAACAACTCAAACTGATAATGCCGAGCTACAGAGACGCCCAGTAGGTAGTGAACTCGATGGCTCTGTATCAACCGGTGTGTTCCTGAGGGGAAGCAAAAAGATACGTGTGCCCACATGATGCTCTGAACAGAGTCCAGTGGGACATTCCCAAACGGACGTTAATTTTGTGTCGCAGCTTTCCAGCGGTAGCTGACTGCCACATGGTTTATATGGGTCCACAGTATATTTGCAGTTAGTGGCCTCGAAGTCACACGGCAAGAGCTAGTGCAGAAATCTTGCCAGCTAGGAAAAGGACAACTAGCACACAACTGAAAAAGTCGCTCCTCGTTATATATGCGGCATTACTCTAGTATGTCAACCACTGAACCCTACAGATTCTGACGTGAGCTTCGAACAAACACTGGGGACAATATAATGTACAGGCCTGCATTTTAGATCCGTTCAATCCCTTTACTCGTCTGCAACACCCATTCGGTACCTAGATGCCATCTCCACTGAGGGAAGTTCAAGGGCCGATACAGCGAGATTGCCAAATCTCGATAACTGCAGTCGAGATGTCAGGGTCAGGTTGGAACCAAGGGCCTTCCGGTTAGTGCGTTCGCACATTAACCACTGAGCTACCTTATCCCCTCCGTATTATAATAAAAGACATTAGACACATCTGAGAGCGATAATCAAGGATGCCACATCCAAGAACAGGGATTCACCACCTAGCAACAAACCGTAGGACTCCACCTTACCGCGCGCACCAACAAATCTCATTCAGAGTATTGAGTACAGGCACACAGCCCATGTCAAGAGGGGCACTGAGACTCGATGTCCAGCTAGATGCGACCAGAATGGTGGGGGTGTACATGGTTCAATCCATGCACTGAGGAGAGACTGAGGACCTTGAAGTTACACACCCGATATAATAATACATAATATGATGTACATAATGTCTCCCGAATATGACTGTCCGTAAGGTTTTTTGGCCACCTCTCTTCAGGCATTTCTTCGGCCGCTGAAATATTTCTACCCCACTGCCATTGACTTGCCGCCCCACTTCTGATGCAGCCCTGATCGACCAGTATTCCAGCACAAGAGCTGAACTATTTCCCAGGCGTCAACATCCAGCGAGCTGGGAAATGAAAACGACGCGAACTGTGTTGCATAATCAACAATCAAGCGATCCCACTGGAGAATCTGTCAATCATGTGCATGGTGAAAGTTGGAACGGTATGATTTTAGTATTCCGTGCATTCAACTTAAGCTAACCCAGTGCAGGTTGTTCCCAATACACAATCCGGAGTAACTCTTACTGTGAAATCCCATCGCGGGCAGCCTCAGAAACGCGCCGAATGTCATCATAATCACGATCAAGCGAACCTGTAAACGAGAGAACCTGAAATATGAACGTTATAATCATATCCACATACTATTCTTTTGGAAGGTAAGGACTCGCAGTAGATTAAATGAACCCCAGAATGAAACTCGGGCACAATCTGAATTCAAAAAGTGGGTAAAAACTCATGTCGCACTACTGCATACACTATTTTGCGCCGATAGGCACTGCGAAATCAGTTCGAATTCGGCCGGTAAGATGGATACGTCATCGGTAACCAGGACAAGACAGTCGTGATCGCTGGAGTTCAACTGATTACACACATTGATGGGTACTGTTATGGCACAAATGCCCTGTTCTTGCGCGTTCACCCCCGAATCTCCAGTGACGCTACGGCTCACAGACATCACCGTATTTCAAAGGCGTGCGAACGAATTTTCCGCGCGGGCCCAACAACCTTGAAAGGAAATTTGGATGTCTAGGGCATTTAACTAGCGATTCACGTCATCAATATGTTCAACGCGAGTGATAAAGCGAAAGCCCCATTAAGTATGATGTTGGTCGAAATGCTAAACCCAAAATAAACAGAGTAGAACTGGTTACCAGTGATACCAGCAATGCCTAATCAGGTGAAACTCATGCGCTACGCCCAGCATGGCCACGGATCACGGATACTTACCAAGGCCCTGTTTGAACAAGGTCCGGACAACATATTCTCAACGGCCACCCAACAAACACACTCCGAATCCCAATGCTGATAGGATTGCACATCCCATACCGTGCAACCTCAACTATGAACTATGTTACTGCGCAGTACAAAAACCGATGGATGTCATTACAGTAATGCCTTAAAGCTGCTATGCTGGCACATACGCAACTATTTCCCCCACATTCTGGAATGTCTCATCCAGGCCTCTCGGAGCCACTGTTGGAAATACGAACAAACCACTTGTTTAGCCCCGACCGTGTTCGAAGCTACAGATTAGCGCCAACTCACCCCCAAGCACTACTTGTACACCTGACTTTGCCCCGAAGGCGACATCGGTATATCTTCCCAGTGTCATTTTACACCTTATTTCTGAATTCAGAGCTCGTATCTGTCCTTATTGTGAACTTCTGTACCTTATCATTCCCACTTATAAGTTTCCTGACCCTCGCAAAACACCAAATTTCCAAGGCCACGCGGCTTCAGCAGGAGACTCTTCTTTTAGCTCATATTGTGCGGCTAGGTCGNGAAACACTCCTTTAGCTCATATTGTGCGGCTAGGTCGCCGCTCTACATCTGTTTCTCCGTATTCGTCTTTCGAGTATTACATTTTCATTGCAGTTTCTTATCACGTGCCTGGTAGGACGCCCTAGTTTTGCCCTTCTCCGTGGTGTTTTTGCGAACCTTCTAAAATTTTAATTGTCCGGTCTTGGTCCAAGTTAGTATGATCTCTTAGAGCCGTAAAAAATGGTAACTGGCTTTTTCTACCCTTACTACCTATCGCAGTGATATCATGTCAGTTTATTCATGACACCACATGTGTCGGGTAATGCCCGCAATTGGTGACTTTTTCGCTTCTGCGCGTTGCTCGGCAGCGATGTCAGTGGTGCTTTAATTCTGAGTTTACCATTTTGATTAAATCTGACGTAATGTCATCCATAAGTCTGGAGTAAAAATCATTTTATCGGCGGCAATTAAGTTCGACACTGTGAGGTATAGATCGGTCGAAACCAACGAAAGCTGGGTCCGCAGAGCAACACAACGTGATGTAGGAGTGGTACCGGGGACGACGGCCAGGTTGAGTGAATCTGGATATAAGTAATGAGATAATCCGCCCGCTCTCCCGCGCTTAGGGTCACCCCGGAAGTTTGAGGAGACATATGACGGGATCTCCGCACAAAAAAGGTGAGTTCTACCAGGTCCTACAAGTGTGGTTATAGATGGTTGTTTAGGGCAATTTTTGAATATCAAGAAGTATTTTGAAAAAACTGGGGCAGTTTGTGCGCAATTACTTCGTCACATTTTTTGCCGCACCCAGAGGTAGGGGGCTAAAAAAGCATGCCACAAAAGCGGTTAGCATATTTGATATTTCTGCGCCGCGCGTGAGTCTGAGTCTTCACATTTGCACCTGCGACGTCTCTGGCTTCAATCGTCATGTAACTGCGGTTCGTTTACCCCTTGGAGTCCGGTTTGAGCGGACCCTTTGATTTTAAGATGATTTTTTTTTCATGGCCAGGCATTTCAGTGGTTGCGCTTTGTGGCAGATGCAGTTCGAACTATCAGAGGCCTGGACTTGCTGTTGTTGGAAGGTTCCCGTTTGTGGTGGTCCGGCTACCCAATAGTTTAATTTACCAGGAGTGTGTGATAAAGAAAAAAATCATAACAGTAGATTGAGTAAACAATAAGAAAGGGTAACAGAGAGCAAACGGATCAATAATTGATCTCTCTAAAATAGTTAGTCGCTGGCCCAGATCAGCGAATGAGCGTCTGCTTTGACAAAAATACGGACCGACCGAGGATAGAACTCAAAGATCTTGGGATACCGGGCAAGCGTACTGTCCATTACACCAACCCGGCACCGGAGAGGTCCTATTTTTTAATACCCATATCCGGCATCCGCCAATTAACTTTTGACGATGTTTTAAACGGACATAACCGCGCAATATGATTTGTCACAGGACATGAGCTACCCCATCCTGCCACCAGCCGAAAGACAGTCCCTTAACTCCCAAACTTGCTAATCGTTTCTGCGCAGTTATCACTCTCTATAAGGCAAACTCGCGCTGAGAGTCTGCCCGTATATAAATCACAGCTGCCTCACTGGCTATTTTTCGCTCTTGCTGATTGCGTCATTATCGATTAAACAGTTCCCATCAGTCCTCAGTACATCGTCTGCTGCACACGTCTGTCTGCTTCCGTTGTCTCCTGGCTACGAACTGCATATAATCTAATAGTTGCAATCGGCCGGCCAAATACATAGACGCCCGTATCTAACATTGACGCATTCTAGAGTCTCGGTTCCGCAGAGTCAACCTTGGAATGAGCAATCGGTCTCACGACTGGGCGAAGTTCACACCGCTTATTCTACCCACTGCATTGCAATCGGCCAGTGAAATACATAGACGCCCGTATCTAACATTGACGCATTCTAGAGTCTCGGTTCCGCAGAGTCAACCTTGGAATGAGCAATCGGTCTCACGACTGGGCGAAGTTCACACCGCTTATTCTACCCACTGCATCTGTGACGACCCAATGATCGTCCGCGATCTTCTTGATCAGCTTGGCGTAGGTGAATTTTAGGAAAAATGTCGGATTTGTGACTCTGGTCCTCGATGTAATGACTGGGAATTTTATCGACCACCAGAGTGACCACTTGACAGGACGGACCATGGGGCTGACAATTTTCGTATTTTCGAAACAACTCAAAAGTGAAAGCATCAGGGCCAACTTCGTTTTGGTAAGCCGGCCGGCATAAGTAGGACTCCTGCAGCAGTCTGCAAAGTCGAGATCAACGTTTGCCACCGATCTATCGATGCAATAGGCTACTTGTTTCTGCACAGTCGATCCATTTCAGCTCACAGCTTGTGACTTGGTTGTGGAGTTCGCAGCTGCGACTTTATGGGTATAGAAAAATCACACTGCAGAAAGCGTCCAGACCAACCAATCATTCAATCAATTCAGCAACAGCCTGGATCAATGGAAGTAAAATTCAAATAGCGTGGGGTCCCTCGTAGGATGTGGCACTCGGGCGCACTCTTTTGTTCGCAATAAACCTGTTGTATTCCTTATGGGCGAACCTTTTTCCGAAACCGGGCCCTGGAGCGGGAACAGCAACCGTTTGCAACAAATTGGCGACGCCCAGACCCATGAAACCATGACAATAACTGCTGAAGCGTTGAAAACATTTTGCTGCGACAACAAAATCAACTAGAAGCGGCGCAGCCACGTTTGGAGGAGAAATTGGCACAGCAACTTAAAATTCAACCACCAGCTTCAGTCGGCTCGATCGGCGACAGCACTACGGAGTTACATTATGACCCTGATGCCGGTCCAACCTTCGATTCGTGATTCAACCATTACGAAGATGTTTTCAAAGTTGAAGTGAAGCACACACATGGTGCGTGGAAGGTTTGCTTGTTGCTCAGGAACTTGGTACAATGGAACACCCGTGGTATTTCAACTTCATCCTGCTAAAGAACCCACAAGATTTCGGTTTTGATAAAACTGTTGAGCAACTCTGAAGAATTTTCGGTGAGCGTTTCTCTTTGCTAAGTATCCGCTGCCAATGTATTAACCTTGTAAAAAATGAATCCGAAGCTCATATCACTTGTGTTGGTGGAGTCAACCTTGAGTGCGAACCATGACCGAAGACCAGTTAAACTGTGTTATATTCATATTTTGTCATTAGTCGCATTCAGACTGATATTGAACAGACCACTGAACAAGATTGAATAAGACTGAAACGCTGTAGTCCATTACCCATGACTGCCGTCACCTTTTGAATGTGGGACACAACAAGGCTGTGTTGGAGTGACCCTTACGCAACAGTCACCGTGACGACATCCAGGCAACCTCCCGTGGTAGCTAATTCAAACGCAGCTAAGCCCTCTTTTTAATGCAGGCAATGCGGCGAATGGCATTTTATACTATTGTGTCCCTATAAAAAGGACAAATGTTCAACGTGCAATCGACGTGGGCACAAAGAAAGTCAGCACCGGACGCGGAAAGCTAGCCAAGGACGCAGCGGAAAACCCGGAGATCATGAAACAGACAGGGCCAGTCAGAACCTCGTTTTAATGCATTGCTTGTAACGATTGATAACCAGATCGATGCTCGCCGCGAGTAAGTTACAATCACAGCAAACCGAAGCACAATTCGATGGCTGCTCGACAAGATTTCCGATATTGCGATAACTTCCCGTCGCACACTGAGAAAGATCAGGTCAACGATATTCACACCAACAGTGAACACTTTCAGAAATGCCTCAGGTTGGAAGCTGCAACTATTAATTAAATTCTATTGTATGGCGGATATATCAGGCCACTGTGATTGTTTATTGATTATCTTTCTGTTTGTGATTTCAATCTTCTGGGTATAGACTGTATCGATCGCTTGCATCTTTCAAAACTGTCATTCGACCACTTAAACATATCAAAACCGACCCAGTTTTTGAGTATCTAGAAATTGTAACCCGCCAACCTACGACTAAAACAGATATATGATGACATTTTCAGCCAAGGTCTTGAATGCTGCCTGAAAGCAAAAGCATGGCTTCATCTGCGCTCGGACGTCCATCCAGTTTTTAGACCCAGAAGGCCAGTGCCATAGGCGGTTTTACAAGTCCTCGATGCTGTGCTCAACCGCCTTGGAGATGCCCGAGTCCTGAAACCGGTGAATTACTCCTCATTGGCTTCACCCATCGTGGTTGTCAAAAAAGTCAAAGGGGCCGTGCGTATATGTGCGATCACTCTGCCTGTCCGAATGTTGCCTTGGAAAGTCATTAATATCCATTGCCTTTACCTGACGATAATTATGCCAAGGCAAACGGCGACGCATAATTCGCAAAGCTGGATCTTTCTAAGGCTACCTGCAGGTTGAAGTCACAGAGGAATCCAGACACCTGTAGATCAATACGCACGGTGGCCTATTCCAGTATACTCGATTGCCATTCGGAGTAACAACTCCACCATCCATCTTTCAGAAGATTACGAACACGATATTGTGTGATCTGGCTGGAGTTACGGCACACCTTGAAAACATCTTTGTCGCGGGCGGCCAAATGGGATCTTTTTCCCGATTATACGATTTCCTTCAGCGAATAAATGACTACGGGTTTTGGCTAAAGCAAGAGAAATGTGAATTTTTCTTGAGTTCTCTGAAGAGCCTTGGTTTTATTATAGGCAAAACGGCCTTCGACCTGACCCGTCCAATATCGACCCCTGAGAATGACCTCACCATTGAATGTTGCTGAACTCAAGTCTTTTTGAGATTGACTAGCTACCAGAGCGCCTTCCCGCCAGTTGTGCATCGCTTGTGCCAACCTTTCAAACAGCTTTTGACCAAAAAATGTCGTTGGGATTGGTCACGCGATTGTCAGCTTGCATTCGAAAAAGTGAAGGGGCTGTTGCAGTCTGAACTTCTAATGACGCACTGCAACCCCACAGCTGTCAATCGTCCTTAGACCTGACGCATCGAACCGTGGATTTGGTGCAGTCATTGCTCACACGTTTCCTGGTGGTGCGCAAAAGGCAACCACTCATGCGGCAAGATCGCCGGCTCCAGCTGAACGGAATTACGGTCAAATTGAGGACTGAGCGCCAGCCATCATTTTTGAAGTGAAAACGTTCCACAAAACGCTTTATGACCGACACTGCACGCTTGTGACGGATCAAAACCCACTGCTGGCTATATTCGGTTCCAAGAAAGCTATCCCGGTATACTCGGTCAACCGTCTACAATGATGTGGCGCCATTCTGCTCGGCTGTAACCTTACCATAAAATATGCCTCAACTGATAAATTTGGGCACGCTGAGGGACAAACGCGCCTAGTTTCTCCTTATGGAAAGGAACCAGAAGATGCCGTAGCAGCAACCGTTGCTGTTGAACCGAAAGTCCGTGCTGTTCTGTTAGAGACCATGAATAAACAACCCGTGACTTTTGACGCGGTCCGACGTGCTACCAAAAATGAGGGCATACTACAAAATCCAGCTGGTTAACAACATTTCCATCCCAGGAAACCCTGTCAACTACGGAGTTCACTGTCTGTTGTCAGTGGCTATATTCTCTTTGGTGACCAAAGCGTCATTCACACCGAACTTCGCGCCTGGGCCATGGCACACTTCCGCAGTGGACATCCAAGGATGAGTGGCGTGAGGGTCCTTGCTCGCGACTATCTTTACGGGCACGGCGTCACTGAACACATGGGACAAGATTATGAGGTTGATTGCGTTGCGCAGGTGCCCAGAATTCTCCCAGCTGATAGTCGCCACAGGCTGGATTGCAGCCAGAAAAACTGTCGTATCGCCTTAGTGTAGGTTTTGCCGTACCAATTCACAAACAAAGCTTCCTCGTCGTGGTCAAAGCATTCAGTCTGAAGTCTTTGATGTGCCTGAGATAACGGCTGAATCCATCACCAAACTGCAGCATTTGTTTTCAATATTCGGTATCCCGGAAACTTTTGAGTCCGGTTATCGTATTCAGTTGACGTCATCAGTTTGGTGAATTTATCCGGAGACGCAGGGTCACTCACGTTACTTACCCACTATTCTGTTCAAAATCCAAATATGAAGCTAAACTATTCGTAGACGTTAACGCGCCTTGATAAAAGCAGAAGGTGAAATGACCATGAGAGAAGCCCTGGATGTACATCTGCTGAAGCATGGAGAAACTCCTAGGCGACATTCCCCGGCGAGCCGCTCTCCAGCAGGGATTATGATGAACGGACGGTCGAGACGTAATCATGACGCTATCCTGCCAACACTCACGTGTTTTCACTCAACAGCAAGAAGTTTAGAGACCGTGTTCCTGTCAAGAAATATCGTCAAGGGAGATGTCGTCACAGAAGATGGACTGTTGACGTCGTCCTCAGAAGAATCGTTCAGGTGATTTGCAGCTTCCGGATTGGATCATTGATATGCAAAAGACATGTAAAACCAGCTATGGCTGATGGAATATCCGATTCCAAAGGCGGAAGAAAAGTAACCATACCTCAACCTGCCGTTTGGAACCTTTGATTTCCCAAGATCAGCGTCAGCATCCACCGCCTCACATGTGCCACTCAAGACAGATCCATTACTGCAACCAAGATGCTTACAGAAGGCTGGTGGAAGGTCAGATTCCTGAAAGCAATCCAGAACACTCGGAACCTACCGAGACCTCAAAACCTCACCAGAATCTCAGCTGAAATCCAGGCTAACCAAGCATTTGATCAATGCGACAACAGCCTTCATCGATGTAAGTGAAATTCAAATAGCTTGAGGTCCCTCGCAAAATGCTACACTGGCACGCACTCGCTTGTCCGCAATGAAACTGTTGTGTTCTTTATCAGTGAGCCTTCTTCCGGCACTAGACACTGGAACGCAAACAGCATTCAGGTGTAACAATGGTCCACCAATCAAATAAGCGGCGATAATCCGCATACATTGGATGATGTGTCCTCACGGGGCCTGTCTCACTCCAAGCATCACCGTCCTTGGCCATCGGGGGTCTGCGGCTAATGCGTAGAAGCTGAAATCTGGAGTCGAAATCAGTTGAATCAGCGTGCTACTACAACTAGAATACACAACCACCAGTGAGGTGGTCATAAATTTGGAATCGGTTAATATGTCGTGTTATGCGCCTACCGCATAAAACTGCCAGGTCACTGGAGGCGATCCTCGGATATACGCCAAATTTTTGGACAGACTTTTTGAAGACCAACAACGCACTCTAAGTTTCTGTATGCGGCAGTTTTGGAGGAAGTGAGGTAAAAAAACCAAAATTTTGCTTGATTCTCATTCTGCGTGACTAATCTGCGTAAAGCAGTTCGTAATTATACTGTGTCAACGCCATTAAGGGGTGATGTCAAAAAGTTTGTTGGAAGGGTTGTTATGAGGAAAGATCCCTGGATGGTCACTTGGATTCCTCCATGCACTTGTCCATGAGAGAGGCCGTGGTGCTCCTGATTACTGTGCAGGGGGCTGAATAATTTTCTTCGCATCTAAAGGATCCAGGATGGAGAGCGCTAGGTGCTCGTTCGGGTAGGACAATCAGTTGTCGACCTCCGTTCAAGCTACGACGTTCTTTGTATTTGCATCTTCCGAAGCCTTTAAAATGAACCTTGTTTATTCTCTAATTTCCCAACTAAAATGGATTCTTGCACTTGGCTTTCCGAGTAAGAGCTGTATATTTTGTTTCTCAGCCGACAGGCGTCTAGATACTTGTCGACTGTATGCTACGTCTATACAGTAGCTAGCGCAGACAAGGAGTTCTTAATTTTGATCGTATAAAATATACTCTGGGATTGTTTAATACTGAAGACTAGAGGCCTTACTGTCGACAAGCAATATTTTAATCCATTTTGGTTAAAGTTGAGTCAAATCAACAAATGCATTTTCAGTGAACCGAAGAGAAGTTTTTTTCAGGAACGTTCAGATATAACCTTTATTAAATGTGGCTGTTTACAGCAGTTCCTATATTTCGCCCACACAACCGACCGAAGAAGCTGGATCTGCTCGAGCGCGATGCCAAACTTATTGAGCGCATGTGGAACTATGGCGCTTATTGCCGCGTCGCCTCTTAGCTTCAAGCAGAAGTCAAATAGGCGCGCGGAAGTATTTCAGATATCATGTGTGCGTTGAATTCCATGAATAGGGCAGGCAGAAAGAACCCCTCAAAAGCACGTTTTCCTGCATGCGCGCCCATTACTGCAAATCGGTTATTTATTGGTATAACGTTGGCCGCTGCTACGCCTTATGCATTTAAAAATTACAAGTATTCTTATATATTACCCGCTAACTTAATAGTGAATCTTGTACACTACGGGTTTATTCCATGAGGCATTCCGTGCACATGACAGCTATCCGAAACCGCCTGCCTTTGGATTGCAAATGGACTTGACCCGACAAAATAAGACAGACCAACGAAGGCAGGTAAATACCTTAAGAGACTTTCAGCAGAAAATCAAATAGTGCTTGTATACTAGCTGAGCATATCATCGTGTAACTGACACACTCATGGGCCATCATCTCTTGGAATCGGAGAGGAGTAAGCAAAGCTAATGACGAACGGGCTTTTTAGTTACAAGTCATGTACCCAGGAAAACAATTATGTGGAATAGTTTTCTGGGCAAAAACACGTTTTTCGTTCCGGTTCCCTGACTACAGGTGCGCCCAAGAGCCAACCAACGACCGTTGTTGTTTTATTCAAGCAAGTTTCCCACAGCATTGGCACTGTTCTAAAAGAGCGCTACGTTCGAGCGTGTTTGGTCTAGTCGTGGTGTCTTGTGTGGCTGAAAGTGAGTGAATTTTAGCGGTTATGGTGTTTCTAAGCTTTTGTTGCAAAGAGGTGGTGGGCTCATTAGTCTGGAGTAAAAAGTGAATATCACTATTTCCACACCTTTTCGATTCTTTATTTTTGTGATCTATGAGGAGTTCATGAAATTTCATTACGGAGCCTTAAGGCTCCGTAGGATTTTCATAATAAACAGAACCTCAATTTGGTCTTTATGTACTGCAATAGCGTTTTTAAGTGTTTGCTCCAGTCGCTCTCCGTCTTTGCCTAAGGTGTTTTTTATGTTTATTCCCGGCGACTCACACGGTCCACTACATGCTGTGATGAGTATTGTTGACACAAGTCAGTGATACCTAAGGCGCCATTCGGCGACTATGTATAACCATACAATCGAAAATGAGGTATTTATCGTGCAGGTCCAATTTGTATGTGACGAACTAACGAGAGGTTGTGTATGTGGTTGTGGTAATAGCATTAGCGGTAAAAAGTTAAAATGCTGTTGTTCTTTGGCTTGTGTAATTCTCGATCCGCCTGAAGTATGTTGGCACCTTGCTGGCAAATTTCTCCACTATTGGGCTTTCTGAGTGAACCCCTGGAAAACAGACATGATTAGATCATCTGGATTTCTGAGAAAACTCACCTGCAAATTCTCTCGGTGCGTATCTTTACCAGGTCCTTAGGAAAGATCGTGGAACAGACTGCCTTTGGTTTAGCTGAAATCAATGATCAAGTGATTGGACGGGGTCATTTTCTCTTTTTAGGATGGAAAGCATGTTCTTCTACAAGCTTATGGGGACAATTTTTGTGGCAAACTAAGCTATCACATAAAAGTGTTCCGTGAAATGGATTCATTTCCATGCGTCGATTCACTGACCGATACACGAGGCGCTTGTTCAGGCGTTTTTTGTTGGGTCCATTCACATTTCAGAGGCTTCGATTCAGCGGGGAGTAAAATGGCGCAGCATCGTGATTTTATCTCAGCTTTGGACAGTGAGCTTGCTATCATGAGGACTCACATAAGAAGCATCTAAGTGAATTGAGCTGGATCCTAGATGCAACGTGTACAGCTGTGAGAAAGTGATTATTTTCTACACGAGCTACCCGAAGTGAGAAAAATACCGTCTTATCAGAGTGTGTACTGTGATCTTTCAAGCCTTTTGTCGTGCTTTCACCTTGGAATAGTATAGTCAATTGCTGGACCCTCTTCGGATATGGCATGTATCAGGTTCCCTCGGAGTAAAGGAAGTCTATGGGGGAATAAAAGAATTCAAAGTTCAATGTGCATGCTTTATGGTCAACAGATTTGAAAACAAAGACCTTCTTTGTAGTGGCCTTTTTGGCACACTCAGTGAGTTTTACTTCCTTATTGCGTTCTGACAAGTTAAGGTGGCTGGGGTATCCCGTAAGCTGTCCGACGTAGGTTATGTTAATTGTCTGGGTGGTAATTGATGTAATTAACGTGAATTTGTACCGAATCACCGAAGAGCAGCGAATGCTCTTTGAACGGAATTTCTGTGATGGGTTGGGAAAACATACTTAAAGAAGACCAGGTACCTACGCCCTATTGGGTATCCCGCTTCGTAATTACTTTTTGACCATCCTCAAGATGCTTACCCAGTTCTGCGAATAACATGTGGACATGCATTTCTCAACTCAAAGAAAGGTGCCACTCTCGTTAACCCTGCTTAGCGGTGTTGACATCCCATCGCATCCGCTGAAAACCAAAGACCTTAGATTGGTCTGATAAAGTAGACGTGGACTCAACTGCACATCAGGTAGGCCATTGATGTGAATAGGAAATAAGAGCGGTCGTAGGACGGAACCTTGAGGAATCCCGAGGAAGTTTGGTTTATATCAGTAATTTGATTTACTTTCAACTCAGAACGCTGTATTTGAGAGGAATGCCTTGATTCGAAGAATTTCCCCTTGGATCACAAAGGCCTGGAGTTATGGAGCAACGGGACTCGTGGATTTGACCGAACGCGTTTGTAGTCAAAAAAGCGTCCGGAAAGTGTTCTTCGTCTTTGGTCTGTATTAGGTTGTTGAGGTTCCCAATACGGAACTTTGAGTGACACCTGGGTTCGACAATCCGGAATATCAAAAGTAAGAATTGGGTTCGTAATTCTGCGGCACTATTTACAAAAGGGTAAGCAAATGTGTACAACAAACCTCAGTTGTTCCCGTTCGTAGCATCAACAAGCTCACAGGTCTGTCACTGACCGGTACGGTGCAGTGTCAACGTTCGCACACCAAACAACGGCGAACGGAATGATGGCTCAGTAGCGTGGGTTGCGGTTGTCCCCTCCGATGACGGTCTCGTACTTCTGATTGGACGTGCGATCACACGGAACTCGTGAGAAAACAAGTCAAGGCAGGTTCAGCAAACGGGACATGAACGCGCATGGGTAAGTAGGTCAGCAGCGCATATTTACACAAAGATGCACATGTCAATACACAAGTGTCGGAAAGGACGGCCTCTGTGGCAAGATGAGTGGCGGGTACGGATAAGCAAAACAATTGGAGATCAAAAGTACATAGGCAGTGTAAGCAAATGAATGGGGGAGTTATCATAAGGTCAAGTTTGATTCAACACAGATTGTTCATGTAAAAGAGCACACGTTACACAAGAGTGGTTTCTTAATCGATAGTGGTTCAGCTATAACATCTTTCGGTGCCTGGCTGCTACGCCACCGGAAAGCAAGCATGAGGGTTGGGAGGATATCAGGCTACCCAAGCCTAGAAAGGAGATGTCAATAGGTCGTGTTTGAACCACAGACCTTCCGGTCAGTAAGTTTGCGCTCTAAAGGCAGCCATCTCGCCCCCTCATTGCCGTCATGAAGAGACTGGACCCCACTGTGGTGTGACGGCTTGCGCACCTCAGCGACCCATTGAGCTGTACGTGGGGTGCTTCCGCGACACAGTCTCTCAGCTTGGTCAAACAAGTTGGTCTGACAATTACAGCCTCCTGGTCTCCCATGTTGGGAGATAGAACATATGGCGACTTATTCCGTAGAAATGGTAATGTGTTAGCATTTCTAGGCAAACACCGCGGTTAGACTTTTGAACCAAAGGCTTTGGTGGATGGCCCCAATCGCCCTCCTGTCTATGTATTGGCGCGCTGACGGTATCCAAGCCCACCTGCAACCATGGTACTTGCGTTCAACAACAAACTGGTGCCACACCGGACGTCGCATGTGGCCATCAGGCAGATTGCCTTACTGCACAAAGCGGGGTCCGTAAGCGAAAACTCGTTGCTACTGACGCCATCGTTCTTACTCCTCCACGCACTTTCTCTTCCCCCTTCTCCCCACCCCATTAATAACGCTATCCTTGTAAGCTTAGCACTCAGGACTGATGACTCCGTTCGTCTTGCGTCGTTTTTGCGTGCAACATATGCTCGACATATGCCGACATCCTCAAGTATCTCCAAATCAATCTTCAAGCCCCGACGTTCTGAATGCCCTTTTGCGGCGAGCTAAAGGCTCAGATATGGTGGCGCTTGCCGGAGATATGAATGCACAGGTAGCCAGGCCTATCTTATCTGAGACTCAAATGGGAGGTCGACATGAGTCGGTACGTACGGATAATGGTGAACGATTGCTTCAGCTATGTACCGACTGCAGGCTGTTTTGTGCAGTACTAACATCCGAAATAAACAGAGAGGTGGCCAATACTTCTGGCGGGTGAGGGTGTATGTTGAGCTCTCCAAAAGCTTCCCTACAAAAAGTGGTGTCAGATAAGGATGTCCACTCTCCCCATTTTTGTTCGACTTCGTCACCGATGAAATAATGAAGCGAACACTGGATGGTTTTCAAAACCCCGGTGTCCTAATTGTTGCTGGTGAGAGCCTTGTCGACCTGGAGTACGCAGATGACATCG